CCACCCCCCACCAGCCTCACCACCCTCAGCCTTCCCACTGCCCCACCAGCCTCACCACCCTCAGCCTCCCCCACCAGCCTCACCCCCCTCTGCTTCCCCTCACCAGCCTTCCCACCCCCCACCAGCCTCACCACCCTCAGCCTTCCCACCCCCCTACAAGCCTCACCACCCTCAGCCTCACCACCCTCTGCCTTCCCACCCCCCCACCAGCCTCACCACCCTCAGCCTCCCCCCCACCAGCCTCACCACCCTCAGCCTCCCCCCACCAGCCCCTCACAACCCCCAGCCTCACCACCCGTAGCCTCCCCCCTCAGCCTTCCCACCCCCACCAGCCTCACCACCACACCCTCAGACTTCCCACCCCCCACCATCCTCACCACCACCCTCAGCCTCCCCACCCGAAGCTAAGCAGGAGGAGGTTGGTGCGTCAAGGTTCCGAGCGGAAGCTGTAGAAGATTGGGTGTCCTGTGTTAGCCAGTCAACTATGTCCTCAGAACTTTTCGAGTTCAGGGTACATGGCCTCTGAACACTGGACATTATTCTAGGGCCAAAGGGAATCACAGCACCACGACGGCCCCTGCGGGGTGGCCTGCCTCTGCCTGTCATTTTTTTTCCGATTAGTGGTAGTATGCGTGCAAGCTACTGTGACAACAGATATGAGTGGCACTGTGCAGTGGCAGAAGTTGGCAGAGTAGACGCTGTAGGCCTGACACACGCTTGCAGACAACTAACTGCTATTCAATCTATTACAGTCAATTTTTTAAAAAAATTTTTTAAATGTACATGTATGTACGTAGTGGGGAATTGCGATGCAGCCTATAACAAAACTAACCCCATTCAACCCCCCAATAATGACAGACCTCTTAGTATGGATGAACAGGCCACAGCATTTATTATCACAAACTAAAATACTGCATAACACATCCATAACTTTATTTATTAAATCTCTTCTTTTTCTGTAACCAAAACGTTAGACATAAATAAGCATAAATTACCATATATACATATATAACTCCACACATAGTGTTATACAGTGACCCAACCGTTCTTGCCAATAAACATACAGTGGTTCCTAATCACCACTTCCTCTCACCTCCCCCCTCGTCATAAAATCATATCTTTCCAATGCCCGCCATCAGCCGACCTTATCCACGCTCGATGGGCACGACACCTCAGGCAACCTAATGTTAACCTTTTGAAGCAGGGGAGGTTGAGACCTTAAAAACCTGTTCATCTCATTCCATATACTTAAACATAACCCCTCAAACTCAATTGGCAAGGACATACCCCCGCCACAACCACGCTGTTTTACACCTAAAATCAGCGGGGGACCCCACCACAACCAGCCATGGCCTGTTCCACCACTGCTAGCAGTGCCAGATTAACATAGAATAAATACCGCACCAGGAAATTAAAGGACCATTCGTGATCAATCTAAAAAACACCAATAACACAACATAGTGCAAAACATATATATATAGATACACACACACACATATATATATATAATGTTAGACTCCTTATGTAGAGTAAAACTCACAGGATTTAAAGCCGTCCCAGGCTCTATATAATGTGCAGGAGGGTGCCTAAAAAGGCTAAACAATATCTTTGAGGAGAGCAGCACAGGATACAAAGTGCAGAATCCAAAATTTATTGCACAAATAAACAATTAAAACAGGGACAATATGCAGTGTATAAATAGTAAAATATACTAGGCACAAAGCCTAAATAAAACACTGCAGAGGAAACAAGAAAAAGTACCAGATACAATCCTTTGATCTAGCAGCAATTGCGTTTCATCTCCAGCCGGAGCCGTCCTCAGTGCACCATCAACATAGGCCTCATCCGACCTCCAGCAAGCGCACCCATCCCCTCGAGATAACTAGGCCACATCCGGCCACACCCCAAGGTGAACTGGAATCCCCCAAGCCAAAACAAGAAACCCACCTCGTCCGATTCCCGACGGCAGCGCACCAGGGCACTCACATTGCTGAGCGCACTGCCAACAGGAACAGGTGATAGCCTCAGCCCGGCCCCCTGAGAACCTCTGGTAAGAAACAGAATGTGTAACATGTCCAGATGCAAGAGCACCCTCAGATTGAAGAGCACCCCATACAACACCGAACCCATATCATTCCACCCAGAGATGACAAAAACCCCCTGGTACCTCCAAGAGGCGGGACAGCCGACCCCGTACGAGGAGGACCACACCCCCACCATGTAACTGGTGCCAGACCACTGAACCTCCGCTCCCAAAGGCGTTAGATCCAACCACTCGCCCCCGCCTCCTGGCCCAAACTACACACGAGCATCCCACATCCCCTTTCCGTAACCGCGGTGAGAAATCCATTCGGAGACCAGCAGGGTGAACCTGAAGGAACCACCACCCTGACTCCCAAAATTCGAGCCCCTGAACCATTGGCGCAGGCACGCCAAGCCTGGCAGCGACCGTAGCCATCCCAAACCAGAATAAATGCCCCTCGAACTCCCCACCAACTTTCAGGCAAATGACGGAAACCTGCACCGCCTCCGATCAGAACGGAATTTGTCAGGCCAACCTGGGAACCCGTTACACCGTGTTAGGAGCCCAACCATCACCCCGTGCATTCCATCTACCTTAGGAGAAAGCGGAAAAGTCAGGGCACGTCGACCCCGAAACATCCAAGAACCGCACAGATTCCATCGACGCATCAGCCACACCGCAACTGACTTACCCGTCCCAACGACAACAGCAGTCGAGCGGCGAAACCTGAAATAAGTCCGTCCACCAAAACACCCCACCACTTGCCGACAACTGCAACATGAACAGGAAGCCGAGCCCTGCCAATCGCAGAAATCACCCTTAGCGCCCTCAACAGACGGAACCAAACATGTAGATGAGCAGTCCACTCCCGGAACCTACAAGGAAACGTCCCCATCCGTCCCGATCACTCCCACCATACTGGAGTGGGCCCCACGCCGCCTCATAGGGCGACCCACGGACCAGCTTCATCAGACCGTTGGACCAGGCGACCACCTCCACTGCCCTAACATCGACCCCGTGACACCTCTGCCCAATAAATAATGACCAAGACAGAGCGTCGGCCACCACATCGGGAATACCCGGACACAAAAAACCTAAGACCAGTCGCCCTAGATTCAAACAGCGCCAAGCCAGGCGCTGCAACCAGAGTAACACTGGGGTAAAGTGTACTGTTACATGACAAGACAGCCCGCACCGCCCCACTATGGTCCCAAAGGAAAACCCACCTACCTGTTCTAGAGCCGGGCACCCCATGCCTACCATGCCACCAGAAAGGGGAAGCTCCAAGAACCCCAAAGTCCGCCAGAAAACCGATCCTTGCCAATGTAATGGGCAAGAGTCAGCACACCATTGAGAGCCCAAATTGGCCCAAAACCCCCCAAAACCTGCTGCAGCAGCAAACAGCTGGAAGTCAGCGGAAAGACTTGGGGGGCAGATTGCACAAACCACCATTAAGGGAGGCCCAGAAGGAACCCTATACAGTCCCAAGGGCAATCCCAACAAGCAAAGGCCAGCAAACCCAGGAGAGTCCAAAGGTAGTGCAGCCTAAACCCGCGACGCCCCGCAAAACCACCGACGCATACTGCCCGATGTCCCAAACCACAGTCATAAATGACATCGGGAGCAACCTACATGAAGGCACATAACCACCCAATCCTGACCGTCGGGAACACAACCTGGAAACAATAAACCCGACGGGCGTACTGGCAGCAGTCGTAAAACCGATTCCACAGCCGCCTTTGTCAGCAAGGCCCCGCAGCCCCACCCACGCAGCCCGCTGCGCCGAGCCATCATCCCAAACCTAGCCCCTGGAAGGAAACGACAACTGAGCAAATAAGTAATCTGGAGATACTGACCCTGCTCCTCCTCCTTGGGCACCACAGTGAACTCCAGGGGTACCCTAAACGACTGGGAAGTAAACTTATAAGCGTTCTTGGTAAACTGGACCCACATCGCCCGATGGAGCTCCCACATGAACTGAGGGTCC